AGGGCTGGCTGCAGGCAAGGCAAGGGATGCGGGGCTGGTGCAGGCAGAGGGTGCGGGTACAGCCCACCTTGTACGGTAAGTGCCCCCTCCTCCTCCCTACCCCACCGGGGTAGCAGCAGCAGCAGCAGCCCGGGGGCTATTTAAAGGGCCCGGGAATCCCCTGCTTCCACCGCCCCAACCCTTTCAATAGCCGCGGGAGCCCTGGGGAAGCGGCGGGGCTCCAGGGCCTATTTAAAGGGCCGGGGCGGTAGAAGCAATGGGAGCCCCGGACTTTTTAAATAGCCCCCAGAGCCCCGCCCCAGGGCTCCAGCAGTGGGGCTCGGGTGGCAATTTAAAGGGCCTGGGACTCCCTGGGGAAGCCGGGCCACCCGGGTACAGCACACTGGCTCTTGCCGGTACACCGTACCTGGGCTTGGGTGCGGGGCTCTCTTAGGGGCGGGGCCCAATTCAGGGAATTGGTTGAATTGGCCTAAAGCCGGCCCTGGGTAACAGGCTCTTCTATAAGACAACGCCCCTAATATTGGGACTCCTGGTCACCCTACTCCCTCCGCTCCAGCAGCCAGACAGGCAAAGCCTAGGGGACATAGGGTGGAAGGCTCTTGTCAATTGCAGTTTCTCACTGAGAGGGGGCAGGGGCAGCTAGAAAGCTGGAAAATTCCATTTCAATCTTCCTGAAAAGGATTTTTTCTAGATATTTCTTCCTGCAAAAAAATGTTGCATTTTTGACTTTTCATCCTAAAACATTTTCAAAAAGATGAAATGTTTCCCGGGAAGCTCTAATCAGTACACCAGCATTTAAAGACCAAGGGATCCCCACTGGATTGACCAGGGAAAGGGATTCCATCATGTATATTATATTAAAAGGTGGAAGCAGCTGGGAGCTCCCTCAGGGGTGGTCTTGAAGGGTTGCACATATATATCATGCCGCTCACTCCCTATGCAAACGACTGTACCTTTAACACTGCCTCTCGCCCTCCTCACAAAGAATTCTGACAACACCCTACTGCACTTTCAGCAAAAGTACAATGAGATCCAAGCACAATGCACTATAACAAAAGTGCAATGCACTACTGTTATACACGTCCTGCTTGCATAGCCTACATTTCACCAATGGGCAAAGTATAACTAAAGTCAACTCTTGGAAAGAGGCAATGTATAAGAGCAAAAAGTGTTAAGTGCACAGCAGCACTGTTTTGTTTTATTACAATAAGCTGCTTTTATATACACCTCTAACCCGATATAACGCTGTCCTCAGGAGCCCAAAAATCTTACTGCGTTATAGGTGAAACCGCGTTATATAGAACTTGCTTTGATCCACCGGAGTGCGCAGCCCTTCCCCCCCCCTCCCCCGAGCACTGCTTTACTGAATTTGCGTTATATTGGGGTAGAGGTGTATTGCATATTTCATCCAAAATGCTATTCAGCACACGTAATGCTTTGCACGTCGGATGAAAGATTGCAGAACAAATGCAACATGGTGTAAAAAAGGCAGCCACCTTGGATCTGTCATCCAAAAAATGCATGATACTTTGACTTTAACGAAGAAATGCGAATGTAGAAATTTTTCCTGACCCTCTTTCTTTGGCTGACTTTCCCTTCCGTGGGCTGGTCAACATTAGAAAATTTGGCAGCAATAAAATACAGTGATGTACTTTAAGGGGCTGTATCAGCTGGGTAATCCAGGTAGTACACTGATACAAAGTGCAGAGGAAGACACACAGGCTGCACTGATGCAAAGCAGGGTTTAACTCCACAAATTTTCCAGTAAATAACTGGTGTAAGCCCCATTTTATACAAATACAGCAGGTCTATATTCAATTTACCAATTTACTATCGGGCCTAGAAACCCCCGTTATGGACCAGGACCCCCCTGCCCCAGAGAGCTTACCATCTAAGGGGAGGGATAGCTCAGTGGTTTGAGCATTGGCCTGCTAAACCCAGCGTTGTGAGTTCAATCCTTGAGGGGGCCACTTAGGGATCTGGGGCAAAATCAGTACTTGGTCCTGCTAGTGAAGGCAGGGGGCTGGACTTGATGACCTTTTGGGGTCCTTTCCAGTTCTGAGAGAGAGGTATATCTCCATATATATATATATATATATATATATATATA